GAGCCACATTAATTTAAAAAAGGGGAAAACGGTTGGAAAACCTTTAATCTATATAAGAACTTTTTTTTTGAGGTGGCCCAGCTGCTTGTACTTAGCGAGTTGAGTGGGCAAGAGTAGTTTCAAGAAAACCTATTCTTCAGCATAAACATACATTTCCTTCCTGGAATATCATGGTGAAGAAAGGACTTTCCAATTCCAGTATAAGCTTAGAATGGTGGCAGAAAATTATGATAATTTTTCAGTTTCAATGGAAAAACATTCTTATACCACAAAAGTGAATTTTTGCTATAGGTTAAGTTTCCTTGCTATCCTCCACTTCCTTTTACAGAAGAAAAGTGGATACTTGAGCAATTAACCCATATGGAGCCAGGAAGAATTTCTCATTTCTCTAAAGTCAATTAGGGATTTTCTGTTTCTGTAAAGGATGAGGACTACATGTCCATTTCTCAGAAAGATAGAGGGATGATCACTGAGGATGGATATGGTTAGGAATTCAACAATAATGAAGTACAAAAATGCCATGTACTTTCCATAGCCAAATAAAACAGTGATATTTAGACTTTAATTCTTTGCAATTTGATTTGGTGTACAGCATGGCTAACTTTAATATATAACTAATGGTTTTTAGCTCCACTTCATCTTCAGCCTACATCTATAGTCCTTCTTCAATCCTCCTCATCTTTAGTCAAACAATTTCTTTGGCACTCTGCTCCATGCTTTGGGTAGATATATTTCTTTGAATTTTCCTCAGTAGTTAGAAGACTGCATTTATGAAGTGACCCCAAAAGCTTGTGGATAACAAAATGGAAAAGTAAGCATTTAGTCAGAGACAATGAATTCCACTTTGGTCATGTAAGAGAGTACGTGAACCTGCCAGAAATTATAATAGACAGAAGTAAGCCATTTTAAAAACATTGGCCCTTTTCGAATATTCAGTTTAGTTTATGCAAGTTTATTTTACAAAAAGAAGATAGGGCCAATTTTCCTTTCTTCTGAACCAAATGAATGACTCAAATTATATCAATAGCTGTCTCATTCTTTACACCACCCATTTATATCTTCCTGGGGTATCAAAAGTAATAGAGGAAAGAACATGGGTTTTCTAGACAGAGTGATCTGACAGAAATTTTACTCTATCCTAGTAGGAAAGTTATTTAGTTTTAATAAGTTCAAGTGATCGTGCCTATAATTAGGGTAAGAGTGACCACTAGGATTTTTAAATATATTTGTAAATATTTTTGTAAAATATATCCATACACACATATGATTGTTATATATTATTTATACATATAGAAATTGTTTTATACATACACACAAATAAAATGAAATCTAAGTCACGGGGCTTGGCACAGGCAAGGCACTACATAAACTAGAATTTGTTCAATGTGGCTCCTGAATCAAATGACAATTTGTTAACCAGAGTCTTGTCCTCAAGTCATGAGAACTGTTATTTCTCATCTCATTTGACCCTCAGGATTTATGTATACACTGAATGAGAAGACACGAATGACCAGCTCCTGCATTAGAATGCTAAGCCTATCACTTGGGACACTTACCAAATGCTATTTCTGGTTATTTAGGTTAGAAAGGAAATAAAGATGTCAGAGATTATCATTGTATATTATTTTAGTAATTACTATAAAAAACAGTTAACCCTCATTTTCCCTCAATTCAGAAAGAAATACGCTTCATAAAATATGCACATATCAAAGATAACTACCTTGAACAGAACACCAAGTTATTTATATAGATATATCAAATGCTTTTTAAAAGACCTTACATGACTTTTAAAAGGCTTCTTTAGAAAATATAAGAAGTAAATTGGGAAATAAGCAAATACATTAAAAAGCTCATATTGTTTCACATCAACAAATGAACTAAATATTTTTAAAAGCAGAGAATAAATCTCTTATTTTATGAAACCATAAAATGAGGTTTTGCTTGTGAGTCATCTTCTACAGACCTAAGTAAAAAAATATTTGGGACATACATTTGAAATGATGATGTGGTTCAGTCTTTAAATGAAAAAAAAAGTCAACTATTTATTTTGTTGCATTGTCATACCTCAAAGTCACATGAAATGTGATTACAATTCAGAAATATCAGTGCTGAAACATTACTTGTTACTTTAAAATATTCAGAGTAAGCTTATAGTTTTTATCCTATTATTACATATTTTTGAAAATTAATGATAATGGAGATGGGGTCACTATAACAACAATTTATTAGTTAAATTGAATTAATGTATGTGCTCTAATTAAATATGCTAAAAAGTCTTTGATTTCCTAAAATGTACATTACTCATGACAGCATTTGGAAATTTTAAATTTCAAAAACTTAGTCCAATGATTTAAAAATACATGATAAATATGACAATAACTCTATCCACAAACAAATTAATTTCATTTTACCTATTTTTATTTTAGTTCTTCATTAAAGTTTCGACTCAAATAGAAAATCACAGTGCCTACTACATAGTTAGTGAACACAAAAACTAATTTTAACTGTTTCCTAAAATATTAATACAGTTCTGTAATATTTTAATGATCTTTCTGAACATTCTAAGCAACTCCTGTAGGAAAGTAAAATTAATATATAGTGTGGTTAAATTTTTCGTAATTTATTTTGATTGAAAAAGATCAGTACATATATAAAGTTGATTTTATTAACAATCTATTTTTCAAAAATTCTTGGAAATCTTTTTTATTGTGTAAATTTAAGATGTACATGTTTTCATATACATATACATAGTGAAGTGTAACGATCTACTTTTAAAGTCTACAATTAATGTTTACTTATAATCAAATACAATTAATTTAGCCAGTTGGCTCCTGGCAGTATCTCCAGTAATAGAAAATTATCATAAACCAATATATCTTGATTGCAACAGCCTGTACCTTTATTGTCTGTTCAGATTCTTTTCACATCAGGTCTATAATGAAAAGCTAAGTCACAAATAGAGGTATTAGAAGACACACAAAGGGGCCACTGTTCCCTGACACAAATCAAATTTTCAATAACTCATAGGTAATTTGACGACTTCCCTTATATAATCCCCCAACAAACAATTAAATTCCATAGATTTTTCATTTAACAGTCCAGTAAGGGTTTCTTAATATACATAACCCATAAAATAAATTAAAAGTAAATCGAAGCATATGTTTAAAGTCCTTGATTCATGAAGAAACCAGTTAGAAACGCTGAAGCCCAAATTAATGTCAAATATTTATACTGTTGGGTTTGGCAACAGAGGTGGGTTCTCAAGAGAGAGCACATTCCAAATGATGTTTTCTACTCTCCTCTCAATCCCATTCATAAAATGCCTTTCTGTTACACAGTAGGATCACTGTTTGATTAATAAACACAAGCTGATGTTTAATGTTAACTGGCAGTACATAGAGACGAGAATTATCACTCATCTTTACTTAAAAACAAAACTTAAGCAAGATGTTTAAGCAGAGGTTACTTCTGCACCGGAGTCCTTTGCATTTCTCAAAGGAAATAAACCTAAGAATGTGACTGAAATGGGGAATCGGAGAACAAATGGGCACATAACACAAGAAAGCTCAGAGGGGGCTGTCTCCAAAACAGAGTAAACCAGTTGTGTGGACAGTGATGCTGGCATAGCTCAGGGATATGCCAAGACCCGATGTCTTTGCTATTTTCTGCTGATACTGGGAGCCTAACTGAAGAAACAGGACTTTGAGGAGCCTAACATTGCTTCTCTTTCTTTAATGCGCCCTTAACCAAGCGGAATTCGCTCTATGCCGACTCCAGTGGGGAGCCTTCAACCCCGAATCTGACCTATCTGCCTTAAATCCGTGAGTTTTCACCGCAATCTCAAACCCCGGATGCCAAGAGAGGAGATCAATGCCAACACGAGATTGCATGCTCCTCTGACTTTTGTTTGCTTGGGTTTTCATTTTAGACAAACACTCTTATCCTCATTACAGAGCCTAGACAGATTGCGAATAGCCCTATCCCCTCATCAAGACAGCCCCAATCACAGCCACACAGAGCGCAAAGAAACCCAACTCTGTTCCCAGGGTCTTGTCACAGAGCCGCATCTCCGCGGGTGGCCGCCTAGACCTTCCCTTACGTTGAACTGTTTGTGCGCAGAGCAAGGGGAAAAGCATCTCTTTCAATTCCTCCCGAGGCCACTCTTTCTTTATGGACCCACCTGCATGGGCGCTTCGTGTCTCATTGCTGACAAATGTCCTTTCTCTCTGGCTAAGACAGCACTGGTCCGGGCTTCCGGTCAAGCGTGCACAGTCCGCGCGCTCCCCGCTCCACGCTCAGCACTGTTGGGGTTCACTAACCGACTCCAACATCAGCACCGGAGCTGTCCTCTCCTGGCGCCGCACACGCGTACTGCCGGGGAGCCCCGTGCGCTCCTGGGAACTGTAGTCTCGCCCTGCGGGGCTTCCCAGCAAACAGGCGAGCGGTGAACTACACCTCCCGGCAAGCAAGCAAACTCTTAAACAGCCTCGATCCGCCAGTCCGGCTCGGCCGCGGAGCCTCCCTACTCCTTTCGAAACGCTCCTGGGTTACCTCTCCCAGTCTCCCCTGCCCTCTTCCTCGCCAGGGGCAGGCGAATGTGACCCCAGCTTATCTCAGCTGGAGATTTTTCTTTGCTAACTATCGCCTTCGGGAGTAGACTGTGAGTTCCTGATTAGAAAACAACACTACCTTGTGCTAATTTCCAATGCAAACGAAGCCAGAGCCGGTCTCTGGGACTCTCCGCCCTACCCCCTCCCCATCTGAATCGGGAAAGTTTCTACGTTTCCTTAGGCAGAGTGGGGCAGTTTTACAGTCTCATTCAGCAAACGTGGGGGAGAAAGACGATGAATGGTACACACATAAGGAAAGTGGTTTATCCGCATAATTGCATTGAGAAGTCGCCCGAGCGTACACAGTCACACACACAACCCGCAAACCAAAGTGCGTGAAAGCGAGATTTCTGGCTAAGCACCCCCAAGGAACTCCCTTCGCCTGCTTACCTTTCCATACAGCTCCATTACAACTCGAGGTTCGGAAATTCTCAAGTGACCTCGCTACAAAGGAGGTTAGGGCTCTACGTAGGAAGCGGGGCTAAAATGAAAAGGCACAACACAATAGAAGGGGTAGGGGTGGCGTCTGGCGGAGAGAAAAAGGAGGGACGTGGAGAAGACAGCTGATTTCGATGGAGGGCTTCTTTCCTCTAGAGGGAAAATGTGGAGTCTTCAAGCGGCAGCTGCAGAGAAAAGACTGAGTCTCTTAGGAAGTGCCAGGGGCGCGATAGCGCTGGGCAGCCCCTCCCCAAGCCCTCCCCCAGGCACCTTCCGCCGTCATTAGCGCGCACACACAGCCGCTGGCCGCAGGCTGCAGAGCTGAGAGGGCACTGGGTTATTTACCCAGAGCAAGCCACATAAAATGAACACATTCATCACTGGAACCCAAAAGCACCGTCACAGAATGAGATGGGAGACCTCTATCAAGTTATCCTGTCCTTTCTTTAACACAAAGTCATTCCTTATATTACAACTATACTCCTCCTAGATTAGTTCAAAAAAATGGTTTTGAAATCTAGGAACTGTACTTTTGCTGGGCTTATCCTTTTCCTGTCAGTTGACTGATAAGTTTGACTATCCATGTGCTCCGTAACTATCTAGAGACAGCCCTCTCTACTTAAAAGTAAATGTTGATCATCCAGCAAATGAGCCCTGCCTTGGCATGAAGTCAAAATTATAATGGAGACAGAGTGAAAAAGGAATGATTGTGATATTGGCATGGAGGTATGAAAGGAAGAACTGGAATCAGCTTTAAACTTCGTTGTAGCAGTAGAACAGAGGTTCTGAAACTTAAATGCACTTGAAAATCTGTTGAGACGGAGGTTAAAGTTAAAATTTTTAAGCCACAGGTAGAGATTGATTCACTAGATCTTTTGAGAGGTCTGGAAATTAGCATTTTAAATAAACACCCCAGAAATGCTGATGTAAGTGGTTCCCTTGCCATAATCTGAGAAACACTGTCTTAAACGAATCTATGCGTAACACTTTTCCAAAGATGCAAGCCTCAAAAGTGTCATGGTATGGACTCAATAATGCAACAGTCTCATATTGGGAACCTACCATATTCAATATTTCCATAATTTTAGTTGATTGTATTATTTAACAACTCTATAATCTGTCTTCTAATCTTGCAATTAGTGAGAATGTAATGCAATATCACCTAGGTAATTAGTTTTTATAACTATTCAGAAAATACATTTAAGCCAGGTGTGGTGGAGTGTGCCTGCAGTTATAGTTACCCGAAAGGCTGAGTCAGGAGGATCATATGAACCTAGAAATTCGAGGCCAGCCTAGGCAACATAGTGAGACACCCCCATCTGGGGAAAAAAAAAAAAAAAGACATACATTTAAAAATATAAACCTCATAGTTGAGAATTGTTTGATACTTAGAGAAGTTTCATGTAAATTAGCTAATAACAAAATGGAAAGTTAAAAGGAAATTCAATATCAATATGTATCACAGTAGCACCTTATTAGAAGTACGACTTCTGCATTTTAAAAATTAAGATGTATCTAAAGATGCATCTCTTTAAAAATTGTTTTCAAGAGAAATGCCAACAAAATAATCCTGACATTTAAATGTATATAATTGTTTGGCATTTAATAATATTTGCTTAGCTACTTAGAGCCTGCCTTTCATCAGAACAACTACTGTGTTTTTTGTACTATCATCACTTTCTGAAATTCTCAGAATTCAGTCTGATATAGAACATATTTAAACATTATAAATATTTACCTTGCAAAATTACTATTCTTTGAGAAGTTTATGCCTTCTCAACATTACACTAAAATTATACACATCGTCAGATTTTTTAGTATGTCTTTTATTTGTGGAAGAACCCGTGAAAATTTAGTTTAAAGCTGGAGTTTTTAAAAACACGTTGGGGGGAACTTAATTCTGTCCTGTCTATAGTGCCTTAGCTGAGAATTTAAGGTGTGCAAAGAGGAAAAAAAATCTAGTCAGGAGTCAGATAAACCAAGAAAAGTGGACTGAAGCTGACTATCTAAAATCAGAGCAGGAGCACAGTAGCTTTGCTTGAAATCAGGTCACCATCCACGAATTTCATTCCTAAGGTCATTAAATGGCTGCTTGAGCTCCAGCTCTTACATCCACATTCCAGCTAGCAGGAAGGAGGAAAGGTGAAGGGTATTTCTCCATCACTTTATGTATACCACTGCTCTTATATTCCAGTTCCTTAAACTTAATCTTATGACCATACCTTTTACAAAGGAGGTTGAAAAATGTGATCTTTATTCTGAGTGGACATGTGCCCAGGTGAAAATCACAAATTCCGTTACACACAAGTTTTCACTGTGTTGACCAGGCTGGTCTCAAACTCCTGGCCTCAAGTGATCCTCCCGCCTCGGCCTTCCAAAGTACTGGGATTACAGGCATGAGCCACCGCACCTGGCCCTTCCACAGCATTTTAAAAAGACTAGTACACTAAGAAGGGATCTTACAGATAATGTAGCTCATTTCTTCCATTTTCTGAGTACAAAATTAGATCCCAGAAAAGTGAAATAACCTACCTAAAGCCCCACAAGTCATCCAGTGCTGTTACAAATATTGGAAAAAGACAACTATTTTGAGAGTATATTGCAATTTACTAATATAATCAAATTTTAAGTGTATCAACTATTTTCATTATCGTTAGGTTTATCTATTATAATTTAAAATGAGGAGGGTCAAAAAGACAAGACACCATCTTCTTCCTTAAGGGGACTACAAACTAATTCTGGAGACCAGATAGATAAGTTGGTAACGTGACAATAATAAAAGACATCAGTGGCAGAACAGTGCCTGATATCCACTCTTATCAGTAACTGCTTTAAAGACTTATAGGAAAGAGTAATCAGATCAATGATACTCTCTGGGAAAGTACATTGTACCCCTAAATATGTTCAAAAAGATCATCTGATTATAAATGTAGAATGAGAGACATAGACTAGAAGATCTTCAAAGGAACCTAAAGATCATTTTGTTCTTCTTTCTCAATTTGCAGATAAAGAAATAAAGACCCAAAGGTGAGTAATGACTCACATAGCATCACACTAATTACCATCAGAGACAGAACTAATATACAATTCATGTGACTTCCAGTCCAGAGTTCTTTGTAAATATATAATATTTCAACAATCACTACTTTGGATGTGAGCACTTATTTGCTGTCTCATAACTTGACCATACTTTTACTAAGAAATCATTAAAATTACCAAACATCAAAGTATAAGTCAAATACCTCATTCAGAAAGATATGCAATCTGATAGTTATCTCTCCTTTGCTGGTTGAGAAACAGGGTATAAGATCTAAGGATAATTGATTATACTTTCTTCTTCAAATAAGGTGTTGGAAAATATTTTAAATTTTATTATCTAAAAATTGCAACATATTAATTAAGCTATAGAACCAAAGTTTTATTATTTTGCTAATTAAAATTAAATTTAACACTACTATCCACATGTTAAGATGGTCATAAAATCCAGTATCAACTAATTTGGCAGAAGTAACATAGGAGTTTGTCTCTTCTTTCTCCTTAGATGGCACAAGAACCCTGAAGCATAGGCTGGATGGGAAAATGGTAGATGCCAGGTATCTCTCTCATCTTTGATGGTTGCTAATACGGCTCTTTTCAGGTCAACGTGGCTCATTTGCATGCAGGTAGCTCCATTCTCCTCGTGCGAAGCTAAGCCACAGAGATGCTGATCGAAGTCCCAAGACCACAGGCACATAGTGTATCAGTTAGTTTTGCTATGCAACAAGCAACCTCAAAACTTAGTAATTTAAACAACCACATTTTTAGTTCATGATTCTGTGGGTTGACAATTGGGCCTGGGCTTTCCCGAGCAGCTCTTTCTGCCTTGATTTGTGTCACGTATGCATCTGTATACAGCTAGAAGTCAGTGAAACAGCTCTGCTTCTTGCAGATTGTCTGGCTGTTGGCTGGGGAAAAGGACAGGAACAGTTTTATATGTCTCTGATCTTCCAGCAGGGTACCTCAGGTTTGCATACTTGGCAGCTTTGTAAGGTTACATGAGAAAAATCAGAGACATACAAGGCCTCTTAGAGCCTAGATTCAGAACCAGCATAGCAAAATTTCTGCTGCATTATATTGGCCAGAAGACGTCATAACTCAGCTCAGATTCAAAAGATGGAACAATAGACTTCAATTCTTGATGGAGGAGGCTTCAAAATCACATTTTAAAAAAGACTTGAATACAGGAAGGTATGGAGAATGTGACCACTGTTGCAACCTACCGCATCCAGGCAAGCATCCCCATGGAGGCTCTACAACTTCAGAGGCTGTGCATTCTGATGAGCCCCCGCCTCTGCTTCTGAAAACCATAAATCTCACCACCTTCCTGGTTTCAGGGGTTCTATCAACCTCATAGGGCACCTCTTTAATCAAAGTACATCTGCTGATTAATTTTCTCCTTGAGAAATACAGTTTAATTATTTACGTGGACCTAAACCTTTAGTAGCAAAGATGTATATGGGAAATTCCCTCCAGCATAACATTCATAGTGGATTGCTTCTCTTTCTGGCTGTTAGCTACATCAGGAAGGTAAGTCTTCCTGGACAGAAGGATCAGAAGCCTGGTCATCATTACTGCAAAAAGGGAATATCTTTCATTCTTCCATGAACTCCCTACAGAAAACCAACCAACCAAACAAACAAACAAAAAACAAAAATGACTCCATCATTTCTCAATAGCCATTCTGTCACAGCACATTTTCATTTAATCTTCTTGGCACAAAACTCATAAGAAACTTGAGTTGGAATTATCAGTCATTCTCAAAACAAATTTTTGTAAGCACTATTTTTTCCACAAAGCATTATCTGTGTCAGATAAATATGACCACTCACAACTTATATTTTTTCTATCTGTTCCTTTAGCTTGTTTATAGTCTGAGTATATATGTGTTTCTTAGAGAAGGATAGCATATCATTATAAAGCACTCATTTAATTCTAGTTCAAACAATTATAGTTGAAGTACACTTTTCTTTATGTAGTCATGATTTTTGGAACATGCATTTTCTTGATTTATTAGGTAATGAACCCTACATAAAAAATAGTTTTCCTTTATAGTAACAAAAGCCTCTTCACATAGAAGCTTATTAAACTCTTAATAGTCACACTAAACACAAATTCCCTAGTACCATAGATGAATATCATG